TGTGACGAGCTTTTCCGCACGTGCGTGTCGCATTGCCATCTGTCTATCCTCCTCCTCCACCTCCTCCTGTCTGTCTGATGGTTGTCCTCGTCTCTGCCTGTGTCTGAGAGTCTGTCTGGAGCCTCCGGCGGTCTCTGTCAGTCCTACCGGCCACTCCGTCTGTCTCCCTGCTGAACGGTCTCCATTGCCGCCTTCTCCATGCCCCCATGCCTGCCTGTCTCTGCTCGCCCAAAGACAAAGATCCCCCGTGTAGCCTCAACAGACTGTTGGGGGCAAGTGCTGTTAGCGAGCACCTATGAAGCCCGGCACGGCCACACGAGGGGGTGGGGTGGCCAGCACCACGCCTGGCCGCCTTTGTCTCCCCAGTGACATATGTTTACACACCACACCAGGTTACTCGTTTGAGGCTGAGTCCACCTAGTGGAGGCCGGGACCGATTCAGATGATTGTCACTGGTGTTGGCCCGTGAGTGGGAATGGAACTCTGTGGCTGGGTTCGTAGTGCAGCTTGCTAATCGCTACACCACCGCTCCCAACACACACACACACCACTCATACACACACCACACTGACACACTCAGACACACACTAACCCACTCAGATACACACACACTCAGGACACACACTAACACACTCAGACACACACACACACTAACACACTCAGACACACACACACTCAGACCCACACACACTCATACACACACACACTCATACACTCAGACACACACACACCACAGACACACACACACACTCCAGACACACACACTCATACACACACTAACACACTCAGACACACACACACACACTAACACACTCAGACACACACACACTCATATACACACACACACTCATACACTCAGACACACACACTAACACACTCAGACACACACACGTCCATGCACATCAGCAAATCTTGTGCAGCTTGATTGGGAATTCTGCCAAGGGGCCGCCCATAAATGACATCACGCGATTTTAGACTTTTTTACCCCCCCCCCTTCGTCACTCGGCGTCACAAAAAGTCAGACCCCCCCCCCTCAAATATGACGTCACAAAGCTCTGCCCCCCCCCCCCAAATAAAACATGCTTCAAATCGCTTTAAACTATTGTCATTGTAGTGCGTATTTTGATGTGACGTCACATTTCTCACCCCCCCCGTCACACAGTCACTTGTCTGATTCATCTTCTTGGTTCTTTCGGTAAAGTCACGTAGAAGGGAAGTAATAAAATAATAAAAATAAAACATAATAAGATAATTCTCACGACGTTTCGGCCACAACGCAAGCAGCCGTCCTCAGGTGGAGAACAGGTCTGTCGAGAAGACAGAGTCATTCACATCATCATCATTAACATCATCATCATTAACATTAATAATCAACATCATCATCATCTACATCTTTTTTTTTTCGATGTAAAGCTTTCGTGACTGCAGGGATTCATTTTCTTGGTTCTTTTGGTAAAGGCACGTAGAATGGAAATAATAAAACAATAAAAAAATAAAAAAATATTTACATATTTTTCACGTTTCGGCCACAATGCAAGCAGCAGTCCTCAGGTGGAGAACAGGTCATTCAGACTCTGTCTCCCCGACAGACCTATTCTCCACCTGAGGACGGCTGCTTGCGTTGTGGCCGAAACGTCGTGAGAATTGTATTTAATTATGTTTTATTTATTTTATTTTATTATTTCCATTCTACGTGACTTTACCGAAAGAACCAAGAAGATATGTTCTAGGATGTTTACCCTAACGATGTGGCCGACCGTATTTTAAACATTTTGGTAAACGACGCGTCGTTTTGTGCCTACGTCTTAAAAAAAAAAACACCTCTCCAACATCTATCCAACGGAGGGTGTATTGGAGCGTGACTGGATGCGACGTGGCCTGGTGTCGCACGAAACACGCACGAGAGTCGGAGAGCCCCTACCGCCTTAACCATCATCACACGAGACACAACCGCTTTTGAGCAGCCCAAGCGGAGCGAGAAGGCAGAGGCGGCCACGGAGATCGTGATTCATTCTTAACTCTGTGTCGTTTTACGTAACATTTCGATACTTTGCTAGGTTATTTAATTTAGTGTGTTCTTTCTCCCTCTAAGCCTGCGTACTTTACTACGCATCTCTTCGTACTCATTGACATGTAAATTTTGACTCTAACCCCCTCCCTCTCTCTGCCTCCGCCCCCCCCCCCCTGTCTATTTAAGGCCACCCCACAGAGACAATCTCCCTCTCTGTACCTGTGTCACTCTCTCTGTGTATCTTGGTGATATCTGTCTGCTTATATGTCTGTCTATAGTTTTCTGGTTAGATTTTATGTCGCTATTTCACTATACCTGATGATGATTGGTTGTGTTGCAATCGAAACGTCGTAATATGCTATTATTTAATTTATTATTATTATATCTTTATACGTGACTTTACCGAAAGAACAAAGAATAGTCGTGATTCATCACGAGCACTGTGTGTGCTCGCGTGGAGCGGAGCGAGCGGCGGACAGATTGATAAAAAACATACTGCTCCCGCAGCCGCGGCTGTGTTAATGAGAGACATTCAGCCGCTTGAACATCAAGGAGAAGGGAGCAGTAGCTGTTTAACACGTAGCAGGCTTTCGCGACCAATATTCATAATCAACGTTGTTGGGTTTAGATCGCGTTATTTATAAATGTGTCGTAACCCTCCACCACCCGACACGGCCAATCAGAAACAAACACTGATTACTAATGTAGCATAATCACAATAAAACACATTCCAAATGATTACTAATCTACAACTCGCATCGTAACAATAGCCTGATTACTAATCTAGTATATAATTACAATAACCCCCCTTGAATCTTGGCACCTGATGAGTTAATGAGTTAATGATGACGTCACCCTGCTGCTGCTGCTCTATATAAGAACGGGAGACAGAGCAGAGCCTCACCATTCTGGCGAATTGCCCGATGATGCTGGATGCAATTACCAGCGAAACGTCGTGCTACTCAAGTTGTAAATGTTGTGGTTTCACGCTTCAACACACCGGTGGGCTAAAGCAGTGAACTAATTGTCTTTTGTCAACGTGACACTTTTTTACTGATTGGCCGTGTCGGGTGGTGGAGGGTTACGACGCATTTATAAATAACGCGATCTAACCCCCAAAAACGTTGATTATGAGCAGTAGCTGTGTTAGTGAGACATTTAGCCGGTTAATGTGAAGACATTTAACAAGGTAATGTAACTCAGAGAGTCGGAATGGAAGCATCGCAGCCAGTGATGACTTTACCTGGTTAATAACGTCATTACAATGATTGCTCAGTTTGTACCCCCATCTTCTCGGTTCAAATTGTGTCTGTTTCTATATCTGGATGGCTTCATGAACAAATGTTTGCTGATAGCCAATGGGTTTGCAGAGTACCTTCGTCTTGGAGAAATCAATGTCACGTGTGAGCCCACCACAGCGTTAAAACGATGATCGGCCACGGCTGAGGTGTTGGTCCTACCGTGTTTCAGATCCGCCTTGTGTTCGCGAACACGGTCTGAGAAATGTCGCTTAGTTTCCCCAATGTAACTACTGCTGCAGACACAGCTTGGTTTGTAGACGCCGGGGTATTGCGTGTCAGGGATCACATCCTTCACAGATGGGATCAGATCACGAATTGTATGTACTGTACTCTTAGTTTTTTCGGTAAAGTCACCATGTAGGTAAAAATTAAATAAAAATTGATAAAAATAAAAGAATAAAAATCACGACGTTTCGGAGGCAACACAAGCTTCCGTCTTCAGGCAGAACCGTCACAGCAAAATATCTGTATCAAGTGATACTTGATACAGATATTTTTCATCACTTGATACAGATATTTTTCATCACTTGACACAGATATTTTTCATCACTTGATACAGATATTTTTCATCACTTGATACAGATATTTTCCTGTGACGGTTTCACCTGAAGACGGCGACTTGTGTTACCTCCGAAACGTCGTGATTTTTATTGCTTTATTTTTATTAAATTTAATTTAATTTTTCACCTACATGGTGACTTTACCGATAGAACTAAGAGTATGAATCCTTGCAGTCACGAAAGCTCCAAATCTAGAATGTCTGTACTGTGTTGAATCGGACCTGGATCTTGTGTTTGTATGATTAATCACAACAAACATTGCACACAACGGAAATTAATTCCCTCCTCATCCATGTCCCAACTCTGCATTCTGACCCTAACTCCAACTGGCCAATCGTAGCCAATTGCCTCCCCCTTATCCGATTCACCACCGCTCCATCACCCCCCACCGCCCCCCTCTACCCTGCCCACCTCCCCCAGGCCTGCCGACGACCCTGGGCTTGTCGATGACGGAGACCACGTCGACCAGCGTGACGCTGACATGGGACTTGCTCGGCCCTGACCCTGTCCTCTTCTACATCATCCAGGTGAGGACATCATCCAGGTGAGGACGGCTCAGAAGTGACCTGGTCACGGATGATAGTTCAGCGAAGTGGCTTGAAATGTATAGCAGCCAAGTGCTCTTAAACGCACGCCGATTCTAAATGTGGAAGGAAAAACCGGAGAACCCGGAGAAAAATCCACGCGACCACCGTGACGGAGACACGCAAATTCCAAATATACAGCAGCAGCAGGCGTCAGGGTCGGGATCAAACCCTCCCTCATTCATAGCAGGCGAGGTAGTTAACATCCGCAGGAAAAAATTCCATTTAAAGCTTTCGTGACTGCAGGGATTCATCTTTCGGTTAAGTCACGTAGAAGGGAAGTAATACAATAATAAAAATAAAACATAATAAAATACAATTCTCACGACGTTTCGGCCACAACGCAAGCAGCCGTCCTCAGGTGAAGTACAGGTCTGTCGGAAAGTCATTCAGATGCTGTCTTCTCGACAGACCTGTTCTTCACCTGAAGACGGTTGCTTGCGTTGTGGCCGAAACGTCGTGAGAATTATTTTATTATGTTTTATTTTTATTATTTTATTACTTCCATTCTACGTGACTTTACCGAAAGAACCAAGAAGATGAATCCGCAGGAAACTCCATGGTTTCTCAGTTACGATTCCTACATTACCCAGCCAAAAAGTTACCGACTTCATCTTCTGTGCTGCGGGCGCGCGGATACAGCCGTATGCTCGAGTTGCAAAGGCAGTGTGTGTGCGCGCGTGTGTGTTAGGTATGACCTCCTGCCAGAGGGCGTTCGACACTTCATGTGGTAGCCTCAAGGTGCACTTGGCCTGACACAAGCGTCGTGGTGACGTCACCGCCACTTAGTGGCGAATGGCGGTTGTTGTTGTTAGGTATGCGGTTGTGGTGGGAAGCGGTAGTGCAGTGGTGCTTATCTTGCTGTGAAATTCGACCCCGGCGCCCGCGCATCTTACGCGGATATAAACGCGTGCGTCGAGCGAGCGATCTCCACCACCGCCCGCCCGCCCGCCCCCCAACCCCGCTGTCGCCGCAGTACAAGCTGCAATCGTCGGAGGGCCCCTTCCGGGAGACGGACGCCGTGCCCGACACGCGGCACACGCTCGCGGGCCTGGAGCCCGACTCGATGTACGAGCTGCGGGTGCTGGCAGTGAACGGGATGGGGCGCGGGCCGCCCAGCCCGCCGGCATTGGCGCGCACCGGCGAACAGGCGCCGTCGGGCCCGCCGCGCAACGTGCACGCGTACATGCTGGGCCGCACACCTATCCTGCTGATAGCATGGCGCCAGCCCAAGGTGCCCAACGGGGTGATCCGTGGCTACCGCGTCTACTGCGCCGTCGAACCCGTGCGGCCCGAGAGCACCTGGCTGGAAAGCGTCGTCGGTGGCGACGACTTTTTCGCCTTGTTGGGCGGCCTGGCGCCCAACACGCCGCACGTGCTTCGCGTGCTCGCCTTCACGTCCGCTGGCGACGGGCCCTTGTCCGACAAGATCTACGTCGAGACCACCGTCGCAGGCAAGGAGCACACGCGCGCGCACACGCGGCGTGGCGACGCTAGGGAAAGCAAGCGTCGAAGGGCCGCCGCTTCGAGAAGGAGACGCCCTCTAGAGGGGTAATGGTGGCCAGGTTGTTTGTGATGCTGCCCAGACGGCTTAGAAGAGGGAGGGGGACTTGCACTGGACCCCACTGCACACACAATATGGCGACTGACAAACTGCGGTGTATACCTTTAATACTGCTACGTATGTGTAAACACGAATGTAATCTTGTGAGATGCACGTTAATGAAAACATCCATTTTGCAAAATATCATTGCGGTATGAGGCCCAGAACAGGTTCAAACATTGGTTGGACTTGCCCATGGCTTCAGCTGTCAAACTCGAGATATGTAACCGGTGACCTGGATTTCAAGTGGAGTATGCAAATACGTGAAAATGTTTCCACTTTCCTCTGTCTGACCACATGACGAAACTGCAGTGGACACCTACATGGATTGTGCTGATGATGATAAAACTCAACATCTTGCCACGGCAGAATCCCTGTACGTCACACACGTTGTTAAATAACAGACATTTGTACGTGATGACTTTTTGTCCCACAGCTCCTGTCCAGCCGGTGAAGCTGACAGCAGAAGCGGTGTCCGAATCGAGCATTCTGTTACGCTGGACCCCTCCGCACCACGGCGCCGTCGCCAGCTACGAGCTCTACGTCCGCCACGGGGGGGACAACAACAACGACAACAACAAAAACAAGGAGGAGGAGGTGTGTGGGTCGTTCCATCGGCCACACTCACAGGGGGAGGTCCAATCGTCGAGACAAACCCCCGTTCATTAGATGCACCTTGAAGGTTGGTGCTGTCGTTGTAGAGACGCGTGGACTTTGCCATCGTACACACACTCACACGGTGTCCTATTGCAGTGGGTACATAATGTGAGGAGAACTTCTTCTTGTTGCGAGGCAACACGATATTGATTCACAATCTGGGTGCAGGTCCCTGACACGAAGGGGTAACGGCCCCTTCCACCCGACACCCACGGAGGTGAACGGCCTCCGGGCTACACGTACGAGTCCTGACCTCTGGTCCGCTCAGACCCCCGGGCCCTGAGAAGGACGTCGTGAGAGGGGATGCCCCCAGGGTCTCACCACCGACCACACTCCACTCAGACCCCCCGGTCCTGAGAAGGACGTGAGAGGGGGGTCCCCCAGGGTCTCACCACCGACCACACTCCACTCAGACCCCCCGGTCCTGAGAAGGACGTCGTGAGAGGGGATGCCCCCAGGGTCTCACCACCGACCACACTCCACTCAGACCCCCCGGTCCTGAGAAGGACGTGAGAGGGGGGTCCCCCAGGGTCTCACCACCGACCACACTCCACTCAGACCCCCCGGTCCTGAGAAGGACGTGAGAGGGGGGTCCCCCAGGGTCTCACCACCGACCACACTCCACTCAGACCCCCCGGCCCTGAGAAGGGCAGTAGAGCCTGGAGTCCAGGCTCCTAGTCCAGTCCCTTCTTAGCACCGGTGTGACGACTGAGCCGGACCCTTGAGAGGTCCGGCTTGTGTACTGCTCCGTGGCTTGCTCCGCCCTAGACACGCCCTCCCTCCCAGAACTTCCTGGAAGGTGACATCACCCCCCTGCTTCGTGGCTTGCTCCGCCCTAGCCGCGCCCTCCCTTCCAGAACTTCCTGGAAGGTGACATCATCCCCCGGTCCCCCCTCCCGGGGTCCCCATCCCAGGGATTGTCGTCGACTCCCTGGCGTGGTGGCGCTTCTGCCCCATGTTGACGAGAAGGGGCAGCTACCCGCTAACAGAATGGGGAGTGCCGATTTACACATTGTCCTGCGGAGGGAGCTGCTAGGAACGTTGGGTTGCTCGGTCAATGGCCTGCAGGGTGAACGGCGGCGTGGTGTATTCCGCAAATATGGCCGACTGTGAGGGCGGGCACAAGCCGGCGTGAGTAGGTTAAACGTTGAGTTTTATAAGGGCACCACGGGGTGACCAGCCCCTCCCCACCCAGCCCCACCCTCCCACCCCCCACCCAGCCCCTCCCCACCCAGCCCCACCCCTTGTGGACGAGTCTTGCGATTCGGTGAAACTCTGATGGGGAGGGCTCTGTTATTATCAATTATTTTTACACGGAAGACCACACACTCAAAAGTGCAATTAAGTGAAGACAATAGTGACGACGGCGACGATGATGACAACAACAATGATGATGGTGACGACGACGCCAATGACAATAACGACGACGATTATGATAATGGCAGTGGTGATGATTAAAAGATGTTTGTATGTGAACCCTGTTCGCTAATCAGACAACCGCTCGTGATGCGGACATTGACGACGACGACGCCGCTGACGATTGACGACAGTGACCGTTGCAACCTCCGCCTTGCCGTTGCTCGCTCGCCAGGAGGTGGTGACACTGGAGCCTTCCGCCGTGACGTTCCTGCTCGAGCGCCTGCAGCCCGACACCGTCTACCGCTTCCAGCTGTCGGCGCGCTCCCGCGCCGGGCTGGGACCCGCCACCTTCACGGTCACGGAGCGCACCAAGCAGTCAGGTACGCGCCGCGTACCCCCCACGCCTACGGAGGTTTTAATGTTTTTTTTTTCACATCATTGGAATTGTAAAGCTCCCGCTTTGCAGCACGAGTCATTGACTAACTTGCGTTTTTCACCCCCTGGGTTATTCACATCCATGTCGCAGCGGTTTCTGATGTTTCTCCCCATTACCCCCTCGCCCCCGTCACCTCCACCACAATCCCAACCCGACCCGCAGCCCCCTCGGCACCCCCACAAAACACGTCGTGCGTGTCCCTGAGCCCCGGCAGCGTGCTGGTCAGCTGGGAGCCGCCGCCCGCACACGGCCGGCACGGCACCATCACGGGCTACACGGTCGCCTACAGGGAGCTGCCGCCCGGCCAAGGCACGGCGCACGCACCCGACGCAGACGGCTCGGGCAGGGGGGATGACGGGAAGGACGGGGAGGCCGGGGAGGACGGCTCGGAAGGGCAGCCGAGCTGGGTGGGTGGCTGGCGCCAGACGCCGCTGCAGCCCGCAGAGCGGCGGAGCGTGACGCTGCGCGGGCTGAGCGAGCGGGCCCCGTACGAGGTGACGGTGCGGGCACACACGGCGGTCAGCCCGGGGCCCCCGTCGCTGCCCGTCCAGGCTCGCGCACTCAAGGACGGTGCGTAGCCGTGGCGGCCAGGGACGACGCTCTGACGTGGCTCTTGAGAGTTTTCCCTGCTGGTGCCGGTGACTCGGCAGCTAACGCTTGTGTCTGGCCCGAGTGCTTCTCCGTCGGCTTTCTGCGCTGCTCTCTCGCGCTCCCCGCGCCGCCGCCGCCGCTCCCGTTCCGTCTTGTGACCTCGACCGTTCAAAAAATTAACCTGTAAAAACAACGTTTGTCACTATAAATCTTTTATATGCGTGTCTCTCTCTGTCTGTGTCTCTCGCTGTCTGTATCTGTCTCACTGTGTCTCTCTGTTTCCCCGTGTCTCTGTCTCCCCATTTCTACCCGTGTCTCCCCGCGTCTCCTCGTATCTCCCCGTGCCTCCCCAATATTGTAGCCGCCACCACCACCGCCACCACCACCACCTCCCGACCCTCGTCCGCGGTGTCTACGGGAGACGAGGCGACGCTCCCCGCCGGTGGCGGCAGCGCCTCCATCAGCTTCATGGCGGCCATAGCGGTGCTGGCGATCCTCCCCTTCGTGGTGTGCACCGCGTGGGGCACACGGAGCGCCGGCAAACGTGGCGGTGAGTGTTGCGGTGGCGTTGCGGTGGCTATGAGATGTTGATGGTGAGCGTGGCGGTGGCGTTGCGAGGATGTTGACTCCCTCGCTTGGTACTTGGGAGGTCGTGGCTTGGATCCAGACACTGACGACGTCTGCTGCTGCTGCTGCTGTATATTTGGAGTCTGCGAGTCTCTCTCATGATCATCATCATCATCACGGTGGCTAGGAGATGTTAACTACCTCACCTGGTACACAGGAGGTCATGGGTTACATCCCCGCCCCTGACACCTGCTGCTGTATATTTGGAGTTTGCGTGTCTCTCATCATCATCATCATCACGGTGGCTGAGAAGGTGACTACCTTGCCTAGTATGCAGGAGGTCGTGGGTTCGATCCCGACCCTGACACTTCCTGCTGCGTGTCTCTGCGCGTTCAGAGTCATTTGGCTGATGATATTCATTTGCCGCCCGACGACGATGATGATGATGACGACGATGAGCCACCGAGTTGAGCCGACACTTGTGATAGCCGCTGTAGCTTCTACTCAAGTTACGTAGTTGCACAGCGGGGGGCTTACCCGGTAAGATACAACAAATGTTGTGTTTGTATCTATGTACTGATTTTAATAGATTTGTTAACCATTGCTATACTTTGCACGTGCCGACGGCGTGCATGTGTTTGGTTTGCGTGTCGCGTGTCGTGTTGTTGTCACGTTCTGCTTGATTTTCTCGTTCCCCAGTAGATGAGCGAGGAGGAAACGCCCCGAACCTGCTCCCCGAGAAGGATACCGTCTCCGACTGCAGGTAGCCACTAACGCTAACAACACCAACAACAACAACAACAACCGCCATTCGCCACTAAGTGGCGGTGACGTCACCATGCTTGTGCCAGGCCAAGTGCACCTTGAGGCCACGTGAAGTGTCGAACGCCTGCTGGCAGGAGGTCACGGAGCAGACCCAGGTGCCACGGGTCGACTGACCGAGATGACTGGCTAATGCACCACCTGTGCCCCCTACTGTGCCAACTTGCTGTGCTTTAGCCACCCGGCGCTCCGCTCGTTGTTGTGAGCGTCGCTCCTCCGCCCTCCGTTGTTGTTGGAGGGCGACTGCCTCCAACTGCCCAGTAGCGTCCTTCACGAGCCTCCTCCACTGAGGCCGATCTTGACACCGCTGGTACCAGTCATCGGCAAGTCCACTCAGCTCCACGTCCTCCTGTACCACATCACTCCATCTCTTCTCTAGCCCGTGCCGCGCCCGTCTAGCCCCCTCGATCCGGCCGAACAAAAGCTGTTTAGGCATGCGGTGGCTGGGCATGCGGGCTACATGACCCAGCCAACGCAGCCTTGCCTGCCGGAGGAGCTCACTGATGGGACTTTGCCCAGATCTTTCAAGGATTTGTGAGCTCCTCACACAATCCAGCCTGGTTAAACCCAGGATGGATCGTAGGCAGGCCAGCCTAAATGTTTCCAACCGGCGAAGATGCTCCACTAGGGGGGTCCACAACACCAACACCACCACTACCACCACCACTAACACCACTGCCACCACCACCACCGCGGTGGAGCAGAAACAATCGTAATTTTAGGAGCTCGCCCCCCCCCCGATGGACACCGCCGGATGAAAGCTGCCCCCCGTGGCGTGGCGGCGACGCCATCCGCCTGGCTCCTGCACGATCACTCGGCGCTGGTGGCTATGAGATGTTGACCACCTCGCCTGGCACGCAGGAGGTCGTGGCTTCGATCCCAACCCCTGACGACGCCTGCCTCTGGATATTTGGAGTTTGCCGCGTCCGTTTCCCCGTGGTCGCGTGACATCTTAAACCACCGTCACGCGAACCTCCCAATTAGAAACGGTTTGTCTACGGACGGTGCGGAATAACGAGTTCAACGTGCACACGCGCTCGCGCGCTAGGCACGCACGCGCTCGCGCGCTAGGTACATACGCGCTCGTGTGCTAGGTACGTACGTATCGTCTTCACCTACTTTCTCCGCTCCCTCCAGCGGCTACGTGAGCAATGTGCTGGCCGGGGTTCGCCACGATGACGGCGGCGACGATGGCGACGATGTCACCGTGGGGATGATGGAGCTGCTGCACGTGGAGGAGGTGGTGGAGGTGGTGGAAGGGGAGGAGATTGCCTTCATCGGTGCTACAGACACGGAGCCCCCAGCAGCCGAGTGAGGCTGTGTGCAGCACAGGCAATGTGTGTGTTTGTGTGCGCAGCGCGTGCTAGGCTGCCACTCTAGTAGTAGTGGTGTAATAAAAGACTCCCGTCAGGCACTGCTGGTCTCCGTTGGTCTTTGATTCAGGTTCTGTCTCCGCACCACCCCGCTGGTCTCCTTCGCGGAGCAGCGTCGTCTCTAGCGCGCCCCGCACGCTCCCTCCAGTGCGCCCCGCACACAGAGACACGGAGACACACGGAGAGAGACACAGACAGAGACACAGAGAGAGACACGGAGAGACACAGAGAGACACATTGAGATAGACATAGACAGAGACACGGAGAGAGACACAGAGAGACACGGAGAGAGACACAGAGACACGGAGAGACAGTGAGAGAGGCACAGAGAGACACGGAGAGACACAGTGCGAGACACAGACACAGAGAGACACAGTGAGAGAGACACAGACAGACACAGAGAGACAGAGAGACGCGGAGAGACATAGTGAGAGAGACAGTGAGAGAGACACAGAGAGAGACGCAGAGACAGAGCGACACGGAGAGAGACACGGAGAGACACAGAGACACAGTGAGAGAGACACGGAGAGACGCAGTGGGAGAGACACAGTGAGAGAGACACGGAGAGACACAGTGAGAGAGACACGGAGAGACACAGTGAGAGAGACACGGAGAGACACAGTGAGAGAGACAGAGACACCGAGAGAGACACGCAGAGAGACACAGAGACACAGACAGAGCCAGAGAGACAGTGAGAGACACAGAGAGACACGGAGAGACAGTGAGAGAGACAGTGAGAGAGACAGAGAGAGACACAGAGAGACAGAGACACAGAGAGACACAGTGAGAGAGACACGGAGAGACGGAGTGAGAGAGATACGGAGAGACACAGAGAGAGACACAGAGAGAGACACAGTGAGAGACACAGTGAGAGAGACAGACTTTTTATAACAATTTTATTCCTCCGGCGTCAATTGCGCTGGAGCATTTTCAATGTATTTGGTACACCGGCCTTTATGGCCACACAACGCACGCGCCTTTATGGCAGCAAAGCAACAACCCGGCCCACGCGCTGCCACGCAACGCGCAGCGTCGGCACCACATCCACCACACGCCACTCACGCACCATCGCCACCGCCGCACAGTCAGTGTCCGATGTCTGTCTGGGCTTTGACGCCCTTTCGCCTGGCAGGGCCCCTCCTGCTCCTCCACACCCTCCTCTCCTGGTGGGGGGGGGGGGGGGTGGCAGCTTCCTCACTTTGGTCATCATCGCCTTCAACCGGTAGACCTCCTGCCGGTTGAAGCAGTATCTGTGTGGGTCCTTGACCACCGTCCGTGCCACCTTGATGAAAGCCCCCCTGTCGGGGAACCTGTCCCGCACATGAACGTTCCGTGCCCCGTACACCTGCTTCATCCATCGGAGGATGTCACTGGGTGTATACGTTCCTGGCCTACTCCCGTCCCTCCACCCTGCGCGCTTTCGGGGGTACTCCTCCTCGTCCCAATCGTCCTCAGGGTCCTCACGGTCACCCGTCTCATCGGCGCCGGCCTCCCCTGCCGCCTCCGCCGACCCTCCTGGAGCCGGGGCCTCCCCGGGCTTGAGCCCAATTCTGGGCATCTTCCTCTTCTTGAGTCTCTCAATCACTCCGTCGTCATACATCTTCGGGGTGGGCGGAGGGGTGCCCTTCACCGGCACGAAACCGCTCGGCACACCGTTGTCATCGGTGTCGGCCCACCCACCGATGGCGATGAGGGCAGCGCCACCTCTCACGTCGGCGCAGGTCTCCTCTTCCGTCTCTGCCGCCGGGGCCTCGCTGGGCACGCTCCCGCGCGCAGGCAGCCCACTGCCCCCAGGGTCCATGTTCACCTCCTCCCCCTCCCCCGGGATCGACGAAGAGGTGCTCCCCGGAGCCTCAACGCCACCCGGCACAGCCACGGCGCCGGTGGCGGTCGTCGGCTGTTCCTCTCCCTGCGTTGGAGGGGGGGAGGCCGGGCCCGGAGGTCGCGCTCCCGGCTCGGTCGTCTCCGCCAGGGGCGCGTCACCCGTGACCTCCGTGGCCTTCCCCCCCCCCCCCCCCTCCACAGGGCAGCCGGCTGGCTGGATACCGTCGCCAGCTGTTTCGGCCGTCTTCATGGGCTGGGCGCTCTCGCGCCTGCCCATCCTCCTCTTTCCGCGCCCCTCCGACGACGGTGAACGCTCCACCGTCATCGTCAGCGGGCTCCTTCTCTGGTGCTGGCTCTCCGCGCTCCGGCACCATCTTGCTGCTGCTGCCCCTGCTGCTACTGCTGCTCACGATGCTCCCGCTGCTGCTGCTGTTGCGGCTGCAGCGTCGGCGTCGTCTCCTCCACCCAACCTCGTCTTGGTGGAGCGGTACTTTTTAACATGTCCCACGCCGCCACACCCGTAGCAGCGTGGTGCGGTTGTAGCCAAGCCACCAGCGGTGCGCTTGATGGCCACGTCCAGCTCGTTGCGTACACCTTTTAAGATGAGGAGCACCTGCCGTTTGCCGGACATGAGGTGCCGCATGGCCGGGTTCCGCGTTCTCATGGGCAGCAGGCTGATGCTGGAGGCCACCGTGCCGAAGCGTTGCAGCTCTCCCACCAGCTCCTCGTTTTTCATGTATGGCGGGGCGCCTGTGATGGTGACTCGTACCGTCGGTGCCGTGAGAGGGGTGCACTGCACGAGCAGCCCCCCCTCCCCTCTGACGCTGAGCCCCCTCCACCACGCGCGCCACCGTGGCCACGTACACCACTCTGTCGATCTACACCATCCACCTATATCGGTATCTCACGCCCATTGTATGTGTAGTGAGTTCAGGGAGACGACGACGGAGCTGAGGCACACTCTTTTTATTAACGCAGGGACAGACACAATAGTTGAAGGGGTAACGGCCCCTTCACCCGTACTATGTGGGAAACCACCCCTAGTACTAAGCCCTCTGTCCTGCTCCGCAGTCCTCCTCTAATGGGCTACGGGAGGCTGTCTGATCCGGCCCTGGTAAGCAGAGATCTCGGCACCAGCTAAGCCGGCCCTGCCCTTACAAGGGCAGAGGTCCGGGAGCTCTTGGGCCGCGCCGCTGGCTTGCCCAGCTCGGCCCTGACAAGGGCAGCGAGACAGGGGAGTCCCAGGGCCTAATCTCAGAGTCTTCAGTCTTCACTGGTCAGCTTCGTGTCGAACTGGCCCCGAGCTCTCTGGCTCCCCGCCTTTTATAGAGATCCCCTCGGAGGGGCGGGGTTATGGGGGATCACAGAGCCCCCATGGCCCCCCAGTGGTTAACGGATGCGGACGTCGGTGTGGCCACCCGTGTGTGCGGGTGCAGACACCCCTGTGTTTCTCGTCCGCCTTTTCTCCCGTAATAACCCCTACACAGGCAACGAGCTGAGATTAGGAGCAAACTCTTAAAGGGAGTGCTCCTAATCTCAGCTTGTTACAATGAGGGAAAAAAGCATTTGATCCCCTGCTGATTTTGTACGTTTGCCTGCTGACAAAGAAATGATCAGTCTATAATTTTAATGGTGGGTTTATTTGAACAGTAAAAGACAGAATAACAGCAACAAAATCCAGAAAAACGCATGCCAAAAATGTTATAAATTGATTTGCATTTTAATTGTCTCCACGCATGCACCACTGTCTCTATCTCTAATCACCCTGTCCCTATACCACTACACACTGTTCTTCACGACTATACAGTAGTACCGTACACCCACGCAGTTACATTGAACACGTATTTCTTTAGAACTGCTTTCCGTGAACCTTAGGTCAATGTCACCACCACCGTCAATGTCACTACCACCACCACCGTCAATGTCACTACCACCACCACCGTCAATGTCACTACCACCACCACCATCAATGTCACCACCACCACCATCAATGTCACCACCACCGTCAATGTCACTACCACCACCACCACCGTCAATGTCACTACCACCACCACCGTCAATGTCACTACCACCACCACCATCAATGTCACCACCACCACCATCAATGTCACCACCACCACCGTCAGTCACTACCACCACCACCATCAATGTCACCACCACCACCACCGTCAATGTCACCACCACCACCACCGTCAATGTCACTACCACCACCACCACCACCGTCAATGTCACCACCACCACCACCGTCAATGTCACTACCACCACCACCATCAATGTCACCACCACCACCACCGTCAATGTCACTACCACCACCACCATCAATGTCACCACCACCACCACCACCGTCAATGTCACTACCACCACCACCATCAATGTGACTACCACCACCACCATCAATGTCACCACCACCACCGTCAATGTCACTACCACCACCACCACCGTCAATGTCACCACCACCACCACCGTCAATGTCACCACCACCACCACCGTCAATGTCACTACCACCACCACCATCAATGTGACTACCACCACCATCACCATCATCACTACCAGTCACCACCACCACCGTCATCGTCACTACCAACCGCCATGTGCTAACAGGTGGCAGTGACGTCACGACGGCTCTTGTGATGGCGTCCGGGGATGGAATTCCTTTCCAGCCCAGAGGCTGCCTGCCCTGCGCCACGTATACAAACCCTCGTTGTGACAGGTCTCTCTAGGCTGGCTCAGCAGTTCAACTGCTGTGTTTTATCGCTCTCTCTCCAATGTCGGCAAGAAGCGCGCGGAGATTTTCCACCTCGTGACGTCAACGGCGATCGCAAAGTTGCGATTTAAAAAAATCTCGTGGTCAGAACGACGACCGGTTCCGCGCGTCCGTTTCGCACCGCCTCTGCTGCTGCTGTTCCCTTCCCAGTCACGGCGGAGAAGCAGTGCGGCTGCCAGGAGCAACTCCGCTGGAACGCCGACTGCAAGCTGTGCCCTTGGACCGTCGATCAATTCTTGTGCAAGTAGCCTCAAGACGCTGTCGAGGGATGGCCTCGGCTGAAATCCCGATTCCATTTGGTTTCAGCCGGGTCCTGTGGGTGTGTTTGGTGACCCCCCCACAAAGTTTGTTTGGGGCACCGGTATCATAGCATCCAGCATGCGCATGACTACGTGACACGATACATTACACGACTACAAACACTACACTTTGATACACTACACCTTGATACACTACCCTGCTATGCACTTGTCAACATCCGCATGTGGTGAATTTCCACAATGCAGAAACGCTGTTGCTTTTTGACCGTCGCCACTTGATTGCGGTTAGCAACTCAGTGGCGTTGTTGTTGTTCCTTTCTACTCCGTTCTTGTTGACGCCGCGTTTGGCAATTCTACGAAACGTTCACTGAGCACAGTGAGGATGGACAATGCAGAGTGGTGTGTGTGAGTGAGTGTGTGAGTGAGTGAGTGTGTGAGTGTGAGTGAGTGTGTGAATGAGTGTGTGAGTGTGTGTGTGAGTGTGTGGGCACAGTGAGGATGGACAATGCAGAGCGGTGACCCCTACACAAGTGAGTTAGCGAGCCGCCCCTGCAGCATCCGTCATCATACCCTTCACTGAGCCGCGTGACGCTCTATACACTTTACACTTGAATACAATCTTGCAGAAAAAAGTCATTTTCTGTGTGTCTATCTCTGTGTGTGGACGTCGGGGATGCCTTCCTGAGTATGGAAACGGCGTTATACCGAAGCGATTGATAGTGTGGTGGTGGTGGTAGTAGGTGAGGTTTTCGTCGAGGATGCGTTCCTGAGTATGGAAACGGTGTTATACCGAAGCGATTGATAGTGTGGTGGTGGTGGTAGTAGGTGGTGATGGTGGTGGAGGCGAAGGGGCTGAGAGGGTGGCGGTGTTAATCACGTGACCACGTCATTTGCGAATTGACGTTAAATCGGAGTAACGCTGCATTTTCTGTGTTTTTTGGAGTTTGCCGTGTGCGTTTTGGGTCTCGATTAAGTCGGCTGTGGTGTTCACGATGGCGAATAGCGGTGCACTAGTTCCGCATCGATTGTTAATGATCACCAGGGGCGGGAGGAGTGGGCGTCCTCATGGATCCCGTACCGCTCTCCAGCACGCCTTATCCCACTGGAACAGTTTCATTATCGATCAACTAGAATCTTTCGATTTAAAGCTTCTTTGGTGACTGCAGGGATTCATCTTCTTGGTTCTTTCGGTAAAGTCACGTAGAAGAGAAATAATAAAATAATACAAATAAAACAATATAATTCTCACGACGTTTCGGCCACAACGCAAGCAGCCGTCCTCAGATGAAGAACAGGTCTGTCGGAAAGACAGCATCTGAATGAAACACCACCAGGCTTGGCAGCGTATATTTAAGCCGGGATGGAGGGGGGAAGAGCGCCTTGACAAAATAATTTGCATATCAAGAGGAATTTAGCATATTTATGGGAAATGCAGATATGGGATTAGTACCACTTGTGAAATGCGTAGGAGGTGGGCGGGAGGTCTCAAAGTCATATTATGCCCGTGCATTATGCAGGATTAGCAGCATCAGAATCGTGCAACATTCGCGAGTTTCCTCTCCGTCTGTCCACGCGCGTGATGCCTCCCCAATTCGGTACTTCGGACGACGGTGAAAAACCCCACAAATGGGTGCGGAGTGATGATGATGATTGATGACGATGGTGGTGGTGGTGGTGATGACGATGATGATGATGGTGATGATGACGGTGATGATGACGATGATGATGACGATGATGATGATGGTGACGATGATGATGATGACGATGGTGATGATGACGATGATGATGACGATGATGATGATTGATGACGATGATGATGATGGTGGTGGTGATGATGGTGATGATGGTGATGATGGTGATGATGATGGTGATGATGATGGTGATGACGATGATGATGATAGTTTAATGATCCAGGAGGCTGCGCGGTGTCACGGAGACTCTCCACTCAGTAGGGCCCTTCCACATTCGGGGTTTTTGATTTATGTTTCATCGCAGGATATTGTCAGCCAATGAGTAAGTTGCGTGTACCGCAAGGGTAGGAGGAAATCTGAACATCTCGGAGAAAAGCCGCTCCTTGCACGAGGGGGAAACACTGGCACAAGCGTCGTGGTGACGTCACCGCCACTTAGTGGCGAATGGCGGTTGTTGTGTTGGGTGTGGGGGTGTGTGTGTGGGGGTGTGTGTGAGTGTGGGGGGGTGTGTGTGAGTGTGGGGGGGTGTGTGTGAGTGTGGGGGGGTGTGTGGGAGTGTGTGAGTGTGGGAGTGTGTGTGGGAGTGTGTGAGTGTGTGTGGGGGTGTGTGACTGTGTAACTGTATGGGTGTGAGAGTGAGTGTGTGGGTGTGTGCGAGTGTGTGGGTGGGGAGCGGTAGTGTAGTGGTTAGCGCGCTGCGCTATGAACCCGGCGGCACGAGTTCGATTCCCATTCACGGCTAACACCAGTGACGATTATCTGAACCGGTTCCCGGGCCTCAGCCTCAAATGAGTACCTGGTGCGGTGTGTAAACATCGCCACTGGGGAGACAAAGGCGGTAGGGCGTGGTGCTGGCCACCCACCCCCTCGTGTGCCGTTCTGGCCTTCATAGGTGCTCGCTAACAGCACTTGCCCCTACAGTCTGTTAAAGGCTATACGGGGGTTCTTAGTTCTTTGTGTGGGGGTGTGAGTGTGTGAGTGTGTGGGGGTGAGTGTATGTGTGCATGTGTGTGTGTGTGTGCGACCCACTCCCCGTGCCGACCAATCGGATGGAGCATCTGGCTGCCTGAACATCGTCACACGGCGAAGGTCTCCGACACTCGTCCTGTTCTCTCTTCGCGTCTGTTCATCGGCGGCTGCGCGTCCACGTCCCTGTCCCTACGCACGTTCTGCATTCCCAGCGCCACTGTCGAAAGAAGGACAAACAGAAGGTTCATCTTCTTGGTTCTTTGGGTAAAGTCATCACGTAGAAGGGAAATAATGAAATAATAAAAATAAAACAAAGTCGCGTAGAAGGGAAATAATGAAATAATAAAAATAAAACAAAGTCGCGTAGAAGGGAAATAATGAAATAATATTAATATAAAACAATAACAATTCTCACGACGTTTCGCCTGCAACACAAGCAATCGTCATCAGGTGTGAAATCCACAGCAAGAAAGAGTGGCGGTTTGTCGTGACGTCAGCACCACGGACAGCGATTTGGCAGTTGGCCAGATGGACGAGTCCAACTCTGTTCGGGTCTTCACGCTCACGTGACTTGCAGACGCAGCCCGTTGTCTGCTGCCCCCTCCTCTTCTCCCCGAACAGAGATGGACTCGTCCATCTGGCCAACTGCCAAATCGCTGTCCGTGGTCCTGACGTCACGACAAACCGTCACTTTTTTTAAAATTTTCTTGCTGTGGATTTCACACCTGACGACGATTGCTTGTGTTGCAGTCGAAACGTCGTGAGAATTTTTTATTGTTTTATATTTTTATTATTTCATTATTTCCCATCTACGTGATGATTTTACCGAATTCAAGTTTCTAGAATCAACCCACCTGCGCCTGCAACATGGCTTCATCCCAGAGGTCGCAATCAGGTACCCGAAACCCGTACCCTACCCGTAACCGGCCGGGTACGGGTAGGGTACGGGTACGGGTACCCGTTTGCGACCCTGGTGCGGCCGGGTACGGGTAAGGAATCAAAACCCGTTTGCGAGCTCTGGCGTGAACGTGAGACCTCGTCAGTGACACACCGAGTGTGGGGCCACGGAGAGAGAGAGCTCCGGCCGGCTACCCACGTCAATGCTCATTCACCAGGGGGGGCCGGGCGATCCGGCTGCCCGGGCCCTGAAGGCCGACGGCGTCTCCTCCTCCTCCTCCTCCTCGTGTTGTTCCCCTTGCAGACGGAGACGACGTAGACCACGACAGCCACAGGCGCCAGCACCCCGGCCACCAGCAGCCCTGCCCTGTGCGGCGGCGTCTCCCCTGGAGGGGCGGCGGTGGCCTCGCTCAGAGCCCCGCCGTGTGGCCGCCGTGGGGCTGCAGAGACACGGAGACGGGGGGGGGGGGGGGGCTCAGGGTGACCCCCACTCGCACCCTGCACCACCACCTCAAGCGGCGACTCGACACGGCTTCACGTGCAGCAGGGAGAGACACTCACTCAACACGGCTTCACGTGCAGCAGGGAGAGACACTCACTCAACACGGCTTCACGTGCAGCAGGGAGAGACACTCACTCAACACGGCTTCACGTGCAGCAGGGAGAGACACTCACTCAACACGGCTTCACGTGCAACAGGGAGAGACACTCACTCAACACGGCTTCACGTGCAACAGGGAGAGACCACCCATTCAACACGGCTTCACATGCAACAGGGAGAGACACTCACTCAACACGGCTTCACGTGCAGTAGGGAGAGACCTCTCACTCGGGATTGACATCGTATCGAAATTGCGAAGAGTCGCGTCGCCGCGCGGCGAGCGTGGCCGTGTCAGCCACGGCGCAACCGGCGCCGCGAGCTCCGCGCTCGGCTCACCCGCAGCCGTCACGTCCTGCAGCTGCAGCAGCAGCTCCGCTTGCACGGCGGCGTTCCCCGCGGCGTCACAGCGGCGGCAGTCGACGCGGCACAGGGCGACGGGGCCGAGGCTCCCGGGGAAGTTGGGGATGCCGACGGAGCAGTCTCCCGCGAGCACGTCTCCCGCGGACTTGGCGACGCTCGAGTCGTCCGCCGTCTCGTCGCCCGAGAAGTAGATCTGCCAACGACACCGAGCGCGACGTGGGACGGTCGAGCGCGATCGCACGCGATGCCCGCCGTCGAATCGTCGTGAGCTGAGCCGGGCTCGGTGAGCTCGGTTAACTCCCTACACGGGAGAGCTCTTGGGCGATGGCAAAATATGAACGTTGAGTTTGCGTCGAGTTCTTGGTTCTTTCGGTAAAGTCGTCACGTAGAATGGAAATAATAAAAATAAAACATAATAAAATAATTCTCAGGACGTTTCGGCCACAACGCAAGCAGCCATCCTCAGGTGAAGAACAGGTCTGTCGGAAAGACAGCGTCTGTTGCATTCATCTTCTTGGTTCTTTTGGTAAAGTCACGTAGAATGGAAATAATAAAGAACAGGTCTCCACCTGAGGACGGCTGGTTGCGTTGTGGCCGAAACGTCGTGAGAATTGCATTTTATTATGTTTTATTTTTATTACTTTATTACTTCCGTTCTACGTGGTGACTTTACCCAAAGAACCAAGAAGATGAATCCCTGCAGTCACGAAATCAGCTTTAAATCTTAAGACAATCACTAGTCACGACTGACGTGAAATGCGAGCCCCACCAAGGTCATGTCTCCACTGGTGACGTTCTCTGCGTAGCGTCTGGGCATCGTGAACCACTGGACGACGACGTGGTCCAGGTGTGTGGCCAGTGGGGAGAAGGAGCAGGGGAGAGTGACGTTCTCTCCCTCCCTCACAGACAGACTCTTCGGGAGAGTGAGCTGGAGCTTGACAGCCAACGCCGCATCTGCAGAGAGACCGGTCACGCTCGTTACGCATACACCTTGTTGACCATGCAAAACAGATTTAACTACGCATCAAAACGCTATACCACAGAGCTCATGGCATTTCTGACCAACACCACCTGGCCAGTGAATTGAGACATGTACATCGGGCCCTCAGGACGAACGGATACTCTGACCGCACCATCCGCCAAGCTGTTTCTCCCACCATACAGAAACAGCCACTTGAAACTCCGATCAAAACCATCACGTTGCCATACATAGCAGGCGTGACCAAAAAGATCTCCAAAATTCTAAACAAACATAAGATCCAAGTCCGATTCAGTACAGTACATAACATCCGTGATCTAATTCCATCTGTGAAAGATGTCATTCCTGACTTACAATACCCTGGAGTCTACAAACTGAGTTGCAGTGGTGGTGATTGCTAGATTGGAGAAACGAAACGCCATGTCTCTGATCGTGTCCGCGAGCACAAGTCAGATCTGAAACACGGCAGAACTGATTCTTCCGCCGTTGCCGATCATTGCTACAACGCTGTGGGCTCTCATGAAATTGTCTTTTCCGAGACCAAGGTGCTCTGCAAACCTCCTGGCTACCATCAAGGGTTTTTACACGAAGCCATCCAAATATACAAACACAGACATAATTTCAACCGTGATGATGGGTACAAACTGAGAAATCATTGGAAAGATGTTATTGACCATGCGAAAAAGATTTAACTACACATATTTGGACCATCTTATTTGACAGACAACTATTCCTTAGTTACCGTACAGTTCACTGATAGACAGCCACTGGCACGCCCAGGGCGGTGTCACAGGGGTCGCATCGCCGTGAGCTCCTCGTCGTCCTCACGGTGGGAGATTTAAAAACAACTATGACAATTAGCAGGTGAAATGTGACCCTTTTAATCAAAAGTTACCTGGCCACAAATGCGGAAATTTATCGCAGAAAAGTCATCGGAATGCACGTCGACTCGAAATGTGGAGGAAAAAACAGAGGACCCGGAGACAAATCCACGCGGCCACAGGGACAGACTCGCAAACTCCAAATATACAGCAGCAGGCATCAGGGTCGGGATTGAACCCACGACCTCCTGTACACCAGGCGAGGTAGTTAACATCTCCTAGCCCCCGTGATGATGATGAGAGAGACACCGCAAACTCCAAATATACAGCAGCAGGCATCAGGCTCGGAATTGAACCCACGATCTCCTGTACACCAGGCGAGGTAGTTAACATCTCCTAGCCACCGTGATGATGACGATGAGAGAGGGAGACTCGCAAACTCCAAATATACAGCAGCAGCAGGCATCAGGCTCGGAATTGAACCCACGACCTCCTGTACACCAGGCGAGGTAGTTAACATCTCCTAGCCACCGTGATGATGGCGATGAGAGAGAGAGACACGCAAACTCCCAATATACAGCAGCAGGCGTCAGGGTCGTGATCGAACCCACGACCTCCTGCATTCAAGGCGAGGCAGATCGCAGTGACCTCTCACCTAGCTAACGAAAGGGCACCGTCCAATGTGTGCTGGGTGAGTGTCTCTGGGTGTGAACTCACCCAGAAGGAGGAAGACGAACAGTGAGATGAGGACCGGCTTCATGGCCGGCTCTGTCTGCTGATGATCGCAAAAGAGAACGAGCCATTAGTCCATCTCACGGCCGCACTCCAACGGTTCACACTCCCTCACTTTCACATCACTCCGCTTCAACATCTTTCCATTCGTGACATCGGCGATGAGTTTCATCTTTTTGCATTCGGTTTTCCCATCTGCTATAATATAAATGCACGCTTAATTTCTACACGCCAGAGGTCGATACCCGGCTACCCGTACCCGGCCGGGATTTCATTTATACCTGATGATGATTGCTTGTGTTGCAATCGAAACGTCGTATGCTTGTATTAAATGTATTATTTTATCTTTACACGTGACTTTACCGAAAGAACCACCAAAGAGTAATTCCTGCAGTCACGAAAGCTCCAAATTAAGTTTGAATGTTTGCGTGTCGTTAAACCGACCATCAGCCGACACAGCCAGTTGGCAAGGTTTATCACGCGAACACACCGTGCCAATCTGTCACTGGAGCAGCACTAACCGGTTGTGTGTTGGAGTGTCTGTGTGTGTGTGTACACACGTACACACACACAGTGTGTACGTGTGTACACTGTGTGTGTGTGTGTACACTGTGTGTGTGTCTGTGTGTGTACACTGTGTGTGTGTACACTGTGTGTGTGTGTACACTGTGTGTGTGTACACTGTGTGTGTGTATACACTGTGTGTGTCTGTGTGTGTGTGTACACTGTGTGTACACTGTGTGTCTGTGTACACTGTGTGTGTGTACACTGTGTGTGTGTCTGTGTGTGTGTGTACACTGTGTGTGTGTATACACTGTGTGTCTGTGTGTGTCTGTGTGTGTGTGTACACTGTGTGTGTGTGTACACTGTGTCTGTGTGTACACTGTGTGTCTCTGTGTGTACACTGTGTGTGTCTGTGTGTGTGTACACTGTGTGTGTGTGTACACTGTGTGTGTACACTGTGTGTGTGTACACTGTGTGTGTCTGTGTGTGTGTATACACTGTGTGTCTGTGTGTGTCTGTGTGTGTGTGTACACTGTGTGTGTGTGTACACTGTGTGTCTGTGTGTACACTGTGTGTCCGTGTGTGTACACTGTGTGTGTGTCTGTGTGTGTACACTGTGTGTGTGTATACACTGTGTGTCTGTGTGTGTGTCTGTGTGTGTGTATACACTGTGTGTGTGTGTACACTGTGTGTGTACACTGTGTGTGTCTGTGTCTGTGTGTGTGTACACTGTGTGTGTGTATACACTGTGTGTCTGTGTGTGTGTCTGTGTGTGTGTATACACTGTGTGTGTGTGTACACTGTGTGTGTACACTGTGTGTGTCTGTGTCTGTGTGTGTGTACACTGTGTGTGTATACACTGTGTGTCTGTGTGTGTGTGTACACTGTGTGTGTGTACACTGTGTGTGTGTGTACACTGTGTGTGTGTACACTGTGTGTGTGTACAATGTGTGTGTGTACAATGTGTGTGTGTGTGTACACTGTGTGTGTGTGTGTACACTGTGTGTGTGTTCAGCACGCCCGGCGGACCCGTTATTCGATCCCGACTCCTGCCGGGGGAGGCGCTCCGGGCGCGGCGGGTCCGCTAGGAAAACTCGGGATGGCCCGAGGCCGACTAGGCCGCAGTCTTCCCTCCCCTCTGTTCTAGATGGTGACGGTGTTGCTGATGTTGTTGTTGATGTTGCTGATGCTGATGATGTTGTTGATGATGTTGTTGTTGATGTTGTTGATGTTGTTGTTGATGTTGCTGTTGTTGTTGTTGCTGATGTTGTTGTTGATGCTGATGTTGTTGTTGATGCTGATGATGATGTTGATGCTGATGTTGTTGTTGATGCTGCTGATGATGTTGTTGATGCTGATTGCTGATTATGTTGTTGTTGATGATAATGTTGTTGATGCTGATGATGTTGTTGATGCTGCTTCTGATGATGTTGATGATATTGCTGCTGATGCTAGGGGTGGTGATGATGTTGCTGATGATGGTGTAGATGATGTTATTAATGATTTCGATTTAAAGCTTTCGTGACTGCAGGGATTCATCTTCTTGTTTCTTTCGGTAAAGTCACGTAGAAGGAAAGTAATAAAATAATAAAAATAAAACATAATAAAACAATTCTCACGACGTTTCGGCTACAACGCAAGCAGCCGTCTTCAGGTGAAGAATGAGACACTACCAAACTAGGAGCTTATATATAAGCTGCATTGGGGGTTGAAGAGCGCCTTAACAAAAAGAATGTGCATGTGAAGAGGGATTTAGCATATTCATGGAAAATGCGTAGGCGTTGGGCGGGGGGGTGTCAAAGTCATATTATGCCCATGCATTATGCAGGATCAGCAGCAACCAAGGGGGGTGCAGGGATTAGCAGTAACAAAGGAAAGGAATGTTAATGATATGTAGCTGCAGTTACTCAACAACCACGTAGAAAACTAAAGTATAAACTACATAAAAAACTAAAGTATAAACTGCATCGCACCATCAGTATACTTACTATACTCTATAATAAGCTGAGTTACTAACAGCAAGTAATACATTACAATTTTACCTCGTAAAAATTCTATAATATGCTTCCATCTAAACCTTATTCTCTTACATCACACGAGCATATACCGTACTATATACTGCCATAGATAAACCCAACATTAAATTATATACTGTATTGCTGTAAACCAACCTATATCTTATACATTTAATATCACACTATGTATTATTCTACACACCCTAATGTGTATCGAAATGGTTTATTACGTCCTTCCAATGATTGCTGAGCCAGAATCCATCTTCTCGGTTAAAGTTGTCTCTGTGTTTGTATATGTGGATCGCCTCATGAACGAATCTCTCATGATAGCCAGATGGCTTGCAGAGAACCTCTGTCTTGGAGAAGTCAATATCATGTGAGCCCACTGAGTTGTAACAGTGATCTGCCACGGCTGAGGTGTTAGTCCTACCGTGTTTCAGGTCAGCTTTATGTTCACGGATGCGGTCCGAGACATGTCGTTTGGTTTCCCCAATGTAACTGCTACCACAGAGGCAACTTAGTTTGTAGACGCCAGGGTACTGTATGTCTGGAACCACATCTTTTACAGACGGTACCAGATCACGGATTTTATGTACTGTGTTGAATCGGACCTGGATCTTGTGTTTAATCAGGATTTTGGAGATCTTTTTTGTGACCCCAGCAATGTAGGGTAAGGTGATGGTCTTGAAAGGCTCCTCAACAGGATCCTTCTTGATGGTTGGAGTGATGGCTTTGCGGATTGTATAGTCGGAGTAACCATTTGCCTTAAGAGCTTGGCGTACGTGTTTGAGTTCACTGGAAATGTGTTCATGGTCGGAGATGCATTGGGCTCTATGATATAGAGTCTTGATGAGGGAATTCTTCTGAGATGGATGGTGGTGGGAATCCGGTTTTAGATAAGCATCCGTGTGGGTGGCTTTCCTGTAGACAGAGTGGCTCATTGAACCATCAGGTCTCCTTTTGATTAGGACATCCAAAAAGGGTAGCTTGCCATCATTTTCGACTTCCATGGTGAATCTGATGGCTGGGTGTATGGAATTGATGTGGTCGAGAAATTGGTCTAGAGCAGGCCGGCCATGTGGCCAGATGACAAAAGTGTCGTCTACGTACCTCTTCCATAAGGTCGGGCGTAGAGTGGCAGTCTGGATGGCGTCCGTCTCAAATTTCTCCATGAAGATGTTGGCTACAACCGGAGATAGGGGGGAGCCCATTGGGGTGCCCTCAATTTGCTTGTAGAAGGTTCCATTCCAGGTGAAGTATGTATTGGTTAAGCAGTGTCTCACCAGGGGGGGTACCCCAGCATTCAGTCCTTGATGAACCAAGTCTTCAATGATTACGATGGTGTCAGGCACAGGTACCTTGGTGAACAAGGAAACCACATCAAAACTGACAAGCAGGTCGTCTGGGGACAGGGCAATCCCCTTGATTGTCGATACCAGGTCAGTAGAGTTTAGTACTGCAGAGGTGGTTTTTCCAGTGAAAGGCCGTAGGATTTCAGACAAAAAACGAGCCAGTTTGTAAGTGGGGGAGTTGATAGTAGAGACAATGGGACGAAGAGGTGTATCTTCTTTATGTATCTTTGGCAAGCCGTACAATCTTGGTGGTCTGGCTGCAGAAGGTTTCAACGAGAACTGTTTGGTCTGATCAATTAATGCGGTTGAAGCAGAAATGATGTTGTTGGTTTTGGAGACGAGGCTGTTGGTGGGGTCTCTTTTTATTTTTGTATAGCTGCCATCGTTTAGTAGTTCTTGAATTTTGTTGTTGTATTCTATTTTGTCCATGATGACAGTGGCATTGCCTTTGTCGGCTGAGAGGATGACAATGTCATCCCTCTTTTTTAATTGAGCTAATTCAAAACGCTCCTCTTTGCTGATGTTGCTAGCTGGCATCTTAGCGTTTTTGAGGGTTACAGAGATTTCGGATCTTGCTACGTCTGCAGCGATGTGACTCAAGCCCTTGAGAGCTACATCTACTCGAGCAATTATATCATTAACTGGTATGTGTCTAGGTGTGACTGCAAAGTTTAGTCCTTTAGCTAAAACGGATTTCAAACCTTCAGAAATAGGACTGTTACTGCGATTAATTACGACTTTGTTAATATCTAGCTTTTCAATGTGTGGGTCCGGTTTCTTGTTTGAGAGGCGATTGAATTTGGAAATCAAGTTGTCCTTACATTTAGTCGACATAGCGGCAGCTGAAGAGGCAGTCATTTTTTTCCACATGTTCCCAATCCGATGTGGACATTGTTACACTCAAAGATAAGTGTGATTTGTAGAGTGTCTTGTCTAACTGATCTAGTTCGGTGCGCGTAAGTCTGATTTTCTCTGAGATAAGAGCTAAGCTAGTTCTAGACAGAATTCGTTTCGCATTAGAAGAAGTTACAGCAGCAGATGTTAGTGTAAATGCGTTTGGTATTACCTTAGAGTCGCGGCATCTCTTCAGAAAGGTGAGAGACTCGATTAGCTGAGCCTTCTTATCCCGGAGCTTGTTGAAGGATCTCAAAGTTATGTGGAAACCCTCCCCGTAGAGGCGGTTAAATTTCGATTTAAAGCTTTCGTGACTGCAGGGATTCATCTTCTTGTTTCTTTCGGTAAAGTCACGTAGAAGGAAAGTAATAAAATAATAAAAATAAAACATAATAAAACAATTCTCACGACGTTTCGGCTACAACGCAAGCAGCCGTCTTCAGGTGAAGAATGAGACACTACCAAACTAGGAGCTTATATATAAGCTGCATTGGGGGTTGAAGAGCGCCTTAACAAAAAGAATGTGCATGTGAAGAGGGATTTAGCATATTCATGGAAAATGCGTAGGCGTTGGGCGGGGGGGGGTCAAAGTCATATTATGCCCATGCATTATGCAGGATCAGAAGCAACCAAGGGGGGTGCAGGGATTAGCAGTAACAAAGGAAAGGAATGTTAATGATATGTAGCTGCAGTTACTCAACAACCACGTAGAAAACTAAAGTATAAACTACATAAAAAACTAAAGTATAAACTGCATCGCACCATCAGTATACTTACTATACTCTATAATAAGCTGAGTTACTAACAGCAAGTAATACATTACAATTTTACCTCGTAAAAATTCTATAATATGCTTCCATCTAAACCTTATTCTCTTACATCACACGAGCATATACCGTACTATATACTGCCATAGATAAACCCAACATTAAATTATATACTGTATTGCTGTAAACCAACCTATATCTTATACATTTAATATCACACTATGTATTATTCTACACACCCTAATGTGTATCGAAATGGTTTATTACGTCCTTCCAATGATTGCTGAGCCAGAATCCATCTTCTCGGTTAAAGTTGTCTCTGTGTTTGTATATGTGGATCGCCTCATGAACGAATCTCTCATGATAGCCAGATGGCTTGCAGAGAACCTCTGTCTTGGAGAAGTCAATATCATGTGAGCCCACTGAGTTGTAACAGTGATCTGCCACGGCTGAGGTGTTAGTCCTACCGTGTTTCAGGTCAGCTTTATGTTCACGGATGCGGTCCGAGACATGTCGTTTGGTTTCCCCAATGTAACTGCTACCACAGAGGCAACTTAGTTTGTAGACGCCAGGGTACTGTATGTCTGGAACCACATCTTTTACAGACGGTACCAGATCACGGATTTTATGTACTGTGTTGAATCGGACCTGGATCTTGTGTTTAATCAGGATTTTGGAGATCTTTTTTGTGACCCCAGCAATGTAGGGTAAGGTGATGGTCTTGAAAGGCTCCTCAACAGGATCCTTCTTGATGGTTGGAGTGATGGCTTTGCGGATTGTATAGTCGGAGTAACCATTTGCCTTAAGAGCTTGGCGTACGTGTTTGAGTTCACTGGAAATGTGTTCATGGTCGGAGATGCATTGGGCTCTATGATATAGAGTCTTGATGAGGGAATTCTTCTGAGATGGATGGTGGTGGGAATCCGGTTTTAGATAAGCATCCGTGTGGGTGGCTTTCCTGTAGACAGAGTGGCTCATTGAACCATCAGGTCTCCTTTTGATTAGGACATCCAAAAAGGGTAGCTTGCCATCATTTTCGACTTCCATGGTGAATCTGATGGCTGGGTGTATGGAATTGATGTGGTCGAGAAATTGGTCTAGAGCAGGCCGGCCATGTGGCCAGATGACAAAAGTGTCGTCTACGTACCTCTTCCATAAGGTCGGGCGTAGAGTGGCAGTCTGGATGGCGTCCGTCTCAAATTTCTCCATGAAGATGTTGGCTACAACCGGAGATAGGGGGGAGCCCATTGGGGTGCCCTCAATTTGCTTGTAGAAGGTTCCATTCCAGGTGAAGTATGTATTGGTTAAGCAGTGTCTCACCAGGGGGGGTACCCCAGCATTCAGTCCTTGATGAACCAAGTCTTCAATGATTACGATGGTGTCAGGCACAGGTACCTTGGTGAACAAGGAAACCACATCAAAACTGAC